AATAATGATATGGTACTGTATCCCCACAATGATGAGTTTGAAATGAACGGATAGCCTGGGAGTGAGTCTGAAACTGAGATATTTTCACGTTCCGAACCCATGTAATCTATTTTAAGTTTTAATATTTTACACCAGTTTTTCTGAAAATAATTTAAATATTTCAAATATTTGAAAACCTGAAGGTATTATCATTATTCACTAATTCTACCAAGATATGTACTGAGGTAACATTCACTCTTGCATTGTCATTGCATCTGTAAAGGCACCACCACCGAAACCACAGCAGGGGTAGTTCGATCGAGGTAGCTAGAAGCGTTCATCGAACTGCCAATTCTGGTAGTTAGACTACAGTGCCTTTTACACACCCACATACTATAGTACAAACCAGATAAGCTATAGCTGTTATGTGTATTACTGGATATACGCTGGGATGTTAGTTAATTGGAAGCTTAGGCTTCTAATCAACTATGATAACATCCTCCTGTGGTATCCTAAAGCCTGGTCTGATCTGGGGCTACTCCTGAGGGTCATTATGAATATCATTTGAGGGTATTATCTAATCAGGGGTGGGCAAGGCCAGTCCTAAATTTATCAGTGTGCCATGAAATGGCTATTATTTGATAAAGAAAAAAGAGCTTTGAGTACACAAGTCCTAGGAAATAAGTCATAGTGCCCACCCTCACTTCGTCAGCAGGCTACACCTATGTATCTGATAAACCACTCAAAGCCATATTCATCTATTACATGGAAACCTCAACATTTGCATAACGGTTTACCTAACATGTGACCATCTGATTAACGCTATGCTTTACATGCCCATTTTAGGAGCACTAGACTATTACTTTCAAATATAATATTAATTTCAATAATAATATTAGGAAAACAATTATGTTATACATTTAGTAATCTACTCTTGGTAATACTAATGATTGTGCCACAGTCTCATCAGCCTCTTGCTAGCAAAATGAAAATAGATGATGATTCCAAAGAGTAAAATGCAAAAAGTTATGCCACGGGGGATAGATGGGTATACGAGATAAATTATCCATAGGAAGAGGAGATGGAGTAGAATAAAGGCAACAAAATAAAGAAGGGTCTCTAGTATCATTCGTGAATTGATGCCCTGAGTTATTGGAGAAGTTGAAATATAAAATATGTATAGCAGACAGGAACCATGAAAACAGAAATAAACATGATTGTCCACATGCCAAAAACAACCCATGCCTCTCCTGGCCAAAGGTTATTTGTAACTTGCTTAAAAGAGAAATAATACGAAAACAATAGCAGAGTAGTTGGGGTGAAGAACATGATCCAGTTGTCTTTCCGTGGTGAAATAAAAGCAGTGATTCTCTTGCAGTAAGGAACCAGTTGAGGGGAAGAAGGACAGAATCGAATGACAAGAAATAATAAAGTTACAACTAAAAGAGGGATCCAATTGAAAAGGTCCCATATAGATGGATCATTATATCTACTTGGCAACCTTTGCCTAAACCCTAGCCAAATCCAATTTGCATCACAAAGAGGATAAGTCCACCAGAGCTGAGGCTTCAAAGGACCTGCTGTGTAATGTATAATGTATTTGTCTTTATCTTCTACTGCCCAGTATCCATCCCGCAGGTAGAGAGCGTAGTCACAGTTGTAGCCCTCAGGTAGTCTCATTGGTTCTTCATGATAAGTGGGGTCTTGCTCATCAAACAGCCTCGAGTACTGGACCTTGTACACACTGTTGTAATATTCATTTAACAAGTTTTGATCTCCCCATTCCTCACAACCTGGAGGTAGAGCTACGTTTGATCCACTGTCGGCACTGGGGACATTAAGGAACTGAGGCCGAGACATAAATGCAGTTATTTTCTCAAGCTCAAGTAGCGAAGGTTTGACGACCATGATTCCACTGTTAAACAAATCTGAGTGACGATACGTAGCACAGAAGTTACCACAGCGAACGAGATGATCTATATTCTGCACTAGAATAGCATCAGCGTCTATCCATATTATCCTCCTGTACTCGGTCAATGTCCACATCTTCATCTTGTAGATCCTGTTGTCGAATTTTGCTTTGCCCACATCAAAGTAGTCAATCATTCTGATCTTCCAACCATCTTTCTTAAGGACTTGTATTGTCTCAGGTGGTACATCATGAGTACACATTACCACGTAATCAAGCTTTGTCTTTGATTCTCTTATTGACTGGCCTAACACTCGGACTCCTAGCTCGAATCCTTTGCCAAAAAGGATGGTGACTATGGCATCAGGTTTATTCTTTTCAATCTCAACTCCTTGGCAGAGGAAAGATGAGAGAACTAGCAGGAGAACCGGCACCATGAGTTGGGAGACTTGCAACCTTTGCTGCATGGTCCGCTACCTGTAGAGCTTCGTCACTTTCTCGCAGTGACTGGCCCGCTGCTTGTTTGGATAGAGGCGATGAGGGCAGTTGTAAAAACAATAAAGGCTTTTTTCACACTGGCACAGTTTTTAAAGCGCTTTGATGCGCTTGGTTGATGTAGCCACGCAGTTATATAATCTATGGTGTGATATGATCTAGCTGAAATAATGCGCATTGACCTTGTTTTAGAGTAGTAAATGAAAAAATTACTCTATTATCTATGTTTACACTAACAAGCTGGATTAATATCATTTTGTGTTCTTGTTGCCAATAGCATTTGCATTGATCGAAGCGCATCACTTCACATCAATCCATGATACTACCTCTGGAGGTGAAGTGAAAGTGAATGCACATTGATGCACATTAATTTGAAGCCACTCTAGCATAGAACTACATACTGTAGTATCTATATGACTCTAGTATGAACACAATTAATATACATCAATGCTCATTACTTTTGCAGGTGTGAAAAGGCCTTAAAACTGGCACGCGTGCTGTGCGCGTGCCATGTTATTGTTAGTTTTTATGAAGATCATTCTGTATGATCACCTGATCCAGTCCATCCAGAAACCTTTTGAAGCAAATGTAATAGAAAAAATGAAACATTTCTCCAGGACTTTATCATGTGTAATTGGAAGCCTAGAACTTAATGACACGCCTATGGCTACATCCCTTTCCATGGCCTATACACTAGTCTATAAAGCGTTGATACAGCAACTATT